ATATACAAAAAGCATATTTTATATTATAATCCCCTCTTCCTTTTATCCAATCGTGCTCATAGTCTTCTTGATTCATTAACTCTATTTTTGTTTCTATTGAACTATTAATATTTTCAAATATTATATCTAACCCTTCCGTTGCATTATCTAGATTGCGTAACTCTTCATCATCTAAAGAATCTATAAAATCTTGGTAACTCTGAGCATTATTTTCTTCTTCTTCGTAACTTTCTAATAAAAACTTATTATCCATCTCCCATTGCTCTTCTTCATCTGTAATGTATTCAATATTATTGATCAACACAACTTCTTTAACTTTATGAGACTCTTTGTCTTTAGTTTTTAACTCATCTTCCTGTTTCTTTATCACAACAGGTGTTTTAAAATATTTATTCTTTAGTTCTCTATCTTTCTTGATATTATCAAGTCTATATATTTCTCGTCTAAAGTAGAGTTCTTTTTCTCTTATAGCAGCCCATTAGCATATCATAAACGTATTATATTCTTCAGGGATCTTACTTAATTTTTTCTCATAATATTGAATCTGACTATCTAAAGTTTCCATTATTAATAAAGTATTTGACTAAGGTTATACTGACCACTTGTTTAAACTTGGTAATATAAGTAAATCCCTTTAATTTGAAATCTAATAACCAGGCTCTGATACCACTGTTGACACGGGTACGCTAGAACCCTAACGGCTTCGAAATTCAAATTTTAAAATTTCAAGTTACTATTTATAGCACTATTCAAATTCGGCGTTCACTATTTAAATTTGGGATATGACCAGTGCGCGAGCACTCACCCAACCACTTTGCTATTCAAGGCACTGGGCCTCTGCAATTATGGTGGGATGTCGCTTTTGTGATTAGTTACGCGCGCGATTAGCAAATATGCGTATGCAGATAAATATTTCTCATGATCTTTTATAGACTGGCGAGACCAACAGTTGGGCCGGTCGTGCGACTATGCTTGTGACAGTCCTACTCGGTACTCACCGTATGCTTCACTGGCTCGCTTCGGAACCAGGCTAACCCGGTCTCCTCCCTCGCTATTTCCAACCACGCACACACAGGACTCAGGCTCTATCGTCTCCTCAGGTAGTTCCACCCGAAGGGATCACTTCTCTGCGTACACAGGGTTCTCTACAAACGCCTCTACCAGGGCTAACACGAGAACAACACACGTAGAGGTTTCTCCTCTAGGGTCCCTAGCATAGAGACATCGCCCCATATGAACGAGCTTAAAGAAAGGCATGGATTAAAACAGGAAAGCTTAATTCATTTCCATAGAGCAAGCTTACAAACGGCTTTCCCTTTTGGGAAACCCCAAGCATTTAGCACAAACTTTAGGAATTACCTTACAAGTGAAGAAAGATCATGGGGATCTCCTTTATTTTCTAATTTACAATGGTGGAGTGGCTACTAAGTAGGCAGTGTGTTACTATTACAGGTGGATGATTCTCAGAGTCCTTCTGAGATCATGTCTTCTATTTTGCAGGAATGAAGAGAGGAACAAGCCCTATTGGAGGTGAATGTTTCAGCTTTGAAATTGATAATAAGCTAAGAATTTTCCCACTAAATACTTATAAATTCAAGCCTCGAGACCATATTGTTCTAGATGATATACAAGAATGTATTCTAGATAATTTCTGGTTCCAATATAACAATAAAAGAGAAGATAAATGTTATATGCTAACAATATTAAATAGTCTGGCTGAATATTTTCATATGATTAATGGAAAAATATAACCAAAAGAACCATCTAGCAATATACGGAAAAAAATCCATATATGTTATATATAGGGGAAAACACCAGGAATTTATATATCATTTGAAGAAGTTATAGCTCAGCAGATAGAAAAAGAAAAAGATGGAGGAGTGTCTTGGAAAAAATATTTAGATGTTGATCAAGCTCTTTCGTATACAAAAAGTATTCTGGGAGTAAACTATTTCTTAGAACCAGCAGCCAAAGACTATATCCAAAAATATAGGAAGGCCAATGAAATAAAACCAATATGGACAGAGTCCAATATAAGAGAAGAAGGACCGTCTAGACCGCATACGTATAAAGAGACGGTAAAAAAAGATATAGATCCATTGAATAAAGAATATGTCAATACTAAGATGAAAAAAAAATTAGAGTCAATAATCGAGCTAGTCAGGGAGACCACAACCAACGGATAGGATAGGAGAATCAGACGCCTGGCCCCGGCTCGCGCAACGTGGAGATGCGTAGAAAGCTGCCTCATTCTCTCTGGCTTCCCCCATTTTATTTATATAGAGCAGGCCTTCCATGTGTTTGTGTAAATAAATAGCATGAATCTTAATTAGAGATCTTTTACGGTGGTCAGAAAAGTATCTTGGTAGCTCTAGGTTCTTTCACCCTTTTCTATTTTCTAAGTAGCTAATTAAGAAATATATCATAGAGGGTATTTTAGTAATTGAGGTTTTGCCCTTCGGAAGTATCAATACGGTAAAAAACAAAAATCCGGCAATCACGCCAGCCTGTCTAAATCTTCTCGGCATGCATGCAGTATGCATTATACACCACCCAGCCTTCCAAAATCAGCTAGCTCGGCGTGCATGCATAAATTGGAGGCCGCCATATTTGTTTACTAAGAGATCGTCTCCAACAAAGAACTCATATGAACACTCAAATTAAAAATAGGTAATAAGAGACCTAAAATCAGTCTCCAATAAAATATCTATATGAAAGACCTATTTGGGGTTGTCTGAGAGGCACAACTCAAATATGGGCATCCTCTCTCCTAAAAACCCATTTACATAAATGATTCTCTTTTGGGTCTTGTTGTTGGAGAAGATGCTAAATAAGTATTGAACATTTTGCCTGTAGCGCTACCCAAAGAACAAATAGGTCTTATATTTTGAATGTTGTCGTTGGAGACAGCCTAAGAGACCTGTGATCACTAATAGTTGTGTCACCTATGTTCCTGTATGTGCTTCACGGTTTTTCACCAGCGTGTCTGCGCTTGCGTTTCGTGTCAAGCAGCCCCCATGAAATTACTCTCTCATGTAGCACATTGTATGCAGCACCATCATATATGTCATTACACTAACTATGCACATTAGCACACCATCATATATGTCACATTAAAAAAATTGTTACACTAACTATGCACATTAGCACCATCGTATCAGTCACATAAAAAAGTTACACCAAGTATGCACATCCATTTCATACGGACCCATCCACGTACATGTCTGTAGTTTTTTTAAAGGATACATGTTTGTGGATCTAACTGCAAGATGTTTGCCTAATCCTATTTTTGCCCTTTGAATGACAGTACTAAAATGACTGATTTACCTTTATTTTGAAAATAAAATATAAAATGAAAAATATATCTTGGCTCATATATTTTGGTACTGGCCCCACCTAATTTGGTACTATCCCCACCTATTTAGTATCTCCAGGTAATTTCAGTTGGGTACCTCGTATTTTTCCACTATCCGATCATGCCCAATGGATAGCCCATTTTTTTGCAACCATTGTAAAAATTCTCTCTTAATTAACAAACATGATGCTTCTCAATTTTAAAGCATGAAGCATGAGGCGCCAGTGCAATACTTTTTTTTATTGAGAAAGGAATAAACTTCCATTAAACAGAGGCAACACCTGATTGGTGGCCACCCAATAGTTTACAGCAGCAGGATTACATTCTGGACAGAGAAGGCACCCGTAATAGTTAGAGCTAGCTCTAAGCCAACTTCTTTAATAGTTCTAACTTTCAGCACGTAACTTTTAATGTGGATAGTCCTACATGACACTCTCATATATAACCTCTCTTGATCAAAAGCTAACTTTTCTCTCTCTTCTGTTAAAATATGAGAAAAATATTTAGAGCACGCAAACCAACATAGCTAAAGCATCTGCTACGAGATTACGGAGGTGTTCGCTGGTCTGAACTGAAAAGTTCAGCCGGTTCTCCTCCCATTGCACTGTTCATCAAACCAGCTAACAGTGTTTCTCTCTCACAACAATTCAGCTGGAACAATGTTTTTCAGCCAAGTTTCAGACCAGCGAACGAGGCCTACAAGACCTGGGGCTATTTACCACCTTCACACACACAGATTCAGCATATAATAAGCACTTGATGTCGTGAAACATGACAACATTCACCACCATATCAAAAGAGGAGGATGTATGCGTCGAATTCGAATTAGAGGCATCAGTCTCAATCTTCAACCTTGAGATACCAGCATCTATAGCAAATAAAATACCCTGTAAAGGCTGCAAGGATACGTAGCTTCAGCTTGGAGAGCATCATGGCAGTGATCAATCGTGTTCATCCCAAATAATGAATCCCCATCCTCCCGATCTTTGCTGCTCATGGAATAATGAGATTTGGGCCATCCCCGTCCCACAAATCGAAGGAACGAGGACCTACGCGAGGCGTGGCAGCACGATGACCCGTTGCAATGCGAGGGCCCACAAGAGCGGCGTGGGATTCTCACTGACGGGGGGAGGCGCAATTCGACGGTGAAGGAGGCATCGGGCGACGGTGGTGAGGCACGCGAGATTGAAGGGTTGGAGCGATGCTCATTTGTCCGCATGCACAGGAGATAATAAGGACACCAAGGAAAGGAAGATAGGAGGATGACTCCTGGCCCATAGCTGACAGGTGGAACCCATCGTTTACTGTTGTTGACGGTGTAAAAAATGAGAGCATTTCATCCCTTAAATCCCTTGATTCAAAAGTGGATGGATTTATCTTCTCAATGCAACCAATTAACAACTGTTCCTCATTGCTAGGCATAAAACAAGAAACATTTTTAGTGATTTTCGAATGAAATGCTTTTTCACGTGACCTGTTTGAACTGAATCTACTCATTCTCAAGAATCAGAAATGTTTTTGCCAAACGGAAAGGCCCCCAGCCCACTGGCAACAGCAGCCCATAGCCTGGCCCCTAGTGTCGCCGAGCGACCCTATTAATCAGCGACGCCGAGCGGATCTACAGCCACCTCAGTCACCGGCGGCGATGGCGAGTTCCAACTCCAGCATCCCTATCAAGGTAAGTGGCAATCCCCCCGCTAATCGTTGAGCTTAAGCCCTGATTTCACCAGCACGAGAGCTCTCCTGTGCCAAGGTTAGATATGGGCTCGCCTCCTTTAGTGCCCGGACGTCCATGTCTGCACCGTCTCCGGCATGCCGCAGGTCGCAGACCACGCGCTCCGTCGCTAGGATGCTAGGGTTGTAAGGAATTGGATTATGCTTGGGTGTAGGGATCGGATTTGAATTTGTGGGGAATGAAACTCATGAATAGCGGAAAGAAGTTTGAGAGGGTGTCTGACCTTGCTTGATGGAATGGAGTTTGTGCGTCCAGAATGCTCTCACCGTCATGCTCAACTGCAAGAGCGACTAGGGTAGGAGATGGGCTGGGAGGGTGGCTTTGATATGTTCGCCCTCTGGTTCTTCCCATTGAGATTGTGCTCATTTCTGCTCTTGTCGATTGCAGGCAGAACAAGATTCGGATGGCTCGGCACAAAGCACAGCTGATATGACCGCTTTTGTAAGTAGCAACTATTGCTCCGCTGTTTACATCTGGTTGTCTTGATTGTAGATTGGACTATATTTCCTCTGTTGAACCTACTGTGAACTTTGGTTAATGGTTTATCCATGCCCACTGTTTTCAGGTGCAAAACCTTCTAATCCAGATGGTAAGTTCCTAGTTTTATTTGGCGACAGTCTCGTGAATGCCCTCTTTTCGGAAAAAAAAATTGAATCTGATTACCTTGCAGCAAACCAGGTTCCAAGCTATGTCGGAGAACATCATTTCAAAGAATATCCTCAAACCATTTCTCTTGCTCATTTGCTTTTTTTATGTATTCAAGATTTTTAACATGCAAAGTAATTGGCATTCCAACTATTTTACTTTAGCTTCTAGAAATATCAAAATTATTAACAATGTCACTGCAGCTTTTACCATAGTATGCCAATTTGTTATTGTGTGAATGATAATAGTGCCAAACTGCTAGTTAAAAGTTCAGAGGTTTGGGAATTGCAAAAGGAAGATTGATTAGAGAAGTTTCCACTGATGGAAGTACTTGTGTAGGAACTATTTAATGTTTGTAAGGGTCTGGAAAGTAATTCCAACTATTGTAACAGTTATCATCATTTGTCTAGCTTCAAAAGACCCTCTTATTCATATTTCCCTGGGGTACTGTCTGCGTATCTGTCTCACCTCTGTTGTAAGTACAAATCCTTAGCAAACGTTCACTAGATGAAATGGGTGCGAGAATTGATGAATTGGAACAGAGCATCAATGACCTCAAGGCTGAGATGGGCAGTGAAGGGATGCCGACGCCATCTAAGACAAAGCAAGACTCAAAACCTTCAGATAGCTCTGCATGAGTGCAGCAGAAGCAGGATGATTCATTTCAGACGTCGTTGCTGTATCTTGGGCGTTCATCACTAACAAATACCTGTTTTGAGGTTTCATTTGAGCAAAGACTGTAACTCATGCTACTTGTGTTTTCTCTGAATGGTTAGCTATAAATTGGTCTTCGTTCTCTGTAGACCTACTTGTGTTTATGAGCAGAGCATGTGCATTCGTGTCATGACAGCTGCTAGAGTGCTAGCACGTGGAGAGATCTAATCTGGCATCTTTGAATGATCACCGCAATTTTTCTTTTGTCTGACATCAGATCAGTGCAATGAGATATTTGCAATTTTGTATCTGGAAGAGCGCACCCAAGTACTAAGAATTCAGGTTCGCAAGCATAATTTGCTTTGCTTCAGTGTTAGTTTTATCACTTATTCATAGCAGTGTATAGTTTTAATTGGCTTACTTATGTTTTAGTATTTGGTTGGCTCATTGGGAAGGTATTTGGGTGTCTATGTATTCGCCTTAATTTATGGTAATGTTCGCTTGTCTTATAAACTGTACTATTTTAGTGAATGAACAATGTTTTTCTCTCACGGCAAATCGGTAAACAGTACTTTCAGACATGGCTTTTCAACATGAACAGGGCCATGTGTGTTAGAGCGGTTTGTTGTAGAATTTAAACTAAATTTCACACCAAACCATAACCACTCCAACACATGTTTAAATTACATACCAAACCATTTTAATACATATGGATTGAGGTGGATACATGATGACAGAAAGTATCCATCTGAGATGTTAAAGTAGGGAAACCAGGGGAATGATGATGGCAGAGAGTATCCATGTGCTCGTCCACCACAGTCCACGGTAATATTGTTCTAGATGTAATTAGTAGTCTTGTTTTTCCTTTGTTGGCATGCCCGATATAGGGCTCTTCTCCTCCGTCGATGTCGTCCCTGGCATCCGGTTCGGTGCTCATGTTAGTGGCTGCTCTTGGGTGCAATTCCACCGCCTCGGGTGAGTTGGTTTGCGGTCTGCATCTGTTTTCACCGTTCTAGATATAGCCGCTCCACCATCCCACCGAATTTCGCCGCCGGTTGTTGCCTTGGTGTCCAGCGCACCCTCCTTCTGCCTGTTGCATCCTCAAGCAGTCGACATTTACAGGTTTATTTCAAAGGTCTTCAACGCCATCGCCCGGGTCGTCGTTTATCAACCCGAGTTCCTTCCATTTTAAGTTATGTTCTCACTATCATATGCACTTCGCTTGCATCCCCATCAAAAATCTTACGACAAAGGTGATGGGCTACGCTAATGACTCTCAATCCCACCCTTACCACCACAGTGGAGGTCCAGCCAGCCAAACACCACCAGCGGTAATTCCTACGGCGCAAAGCTCGGTGACCTCGACATGATGGTCAACACTTTGGCAGCCTCGTGTTCTAGGATAGTGTTTAAACAGACTAAAGCTTTGTTTGATGTATGTGTATCCATTTTTAATCCACGTGTGTTGGAGTGGGTTGGAATAGAACTTAATTTAATTTCACTCTAATCCACTTCAACGTATGTGGATTGAGATGATACATATGCATCCAAACAAAACATAAATAGTTGTTTAGGTGAACAGTGGTTATAGGTTGTATGATATTGCTTAGTATGCATGTATTTTACACCTTCTTCAAAGGTATTCTTGTACTTTTCCCTTTATTATAAATATATAATCGTATGTGTTCTAGGTTTCTTTCGGAAAAAAACATGGTGCTACGACAACCTACGTAGCTGGGGCACTGAGATTAATGATTTTCCCTATACAAAGTTGGGACAATACAAGCCCAGTATCGCCACATTTAATCATATACTCCTTCCGTACTAAAAAAATGAAATCGTTTTGGATAAGCCTTGGGTCAAACATTGGAAATCACTACTACAGAATATTTATCCGTGTCGGGCGTTTTGGGTTTCCCGCGGCGGGCAAACCGGTCCGCCGCCGCCGAAAGGCCACGGTAAATCGTGGCTTCCCGCGGCGGACAGCTTTGCCCGCCATAGTTAATCGATTTACTGCGGCGGCCACATAAGAACGCCCGCCGCGACAAATCGTTCAGGAAAAACAAAAAAAAAAAAAAAAAAAAGCCCACACGGGCTTGGATCCGGGCCGCACTGAACCTAGATCCCGCTGCCACCGTCGATCCACCGCCGTCGATTGGATCCGCCGTAGCTCCAACCCGCCGCACCGTCGGAGGGAGAGGAAGGGCCGGGGTGGGCGCCACGCCCACCGGATTTGCACCACCGTCGATTGGGTGGGAGGAAGACGACGCCCCTCCGTGGATCCACGACGTCGCGGCGGGTTGGGGCCGCCCCTCCGTGGATCCGTGCCGTCGCAGCGGGTTGGGGCCGCCCCTCCGTGGATCCGTGCCGTCGCGGCGGGTTGGGGCCGCCCCTCCGTGGATCCGTGCCGTCGCGGCGGGTTGGGGCCGCCCCTCCGTGGATCCGTGCCATCGCGGCGGGTTGGGGCCGCCCTTCCGTGGATCCATGCCGTCGTGGCGGGTTGGCGCCGCCCCGCCGTGGATCCGCGCCGGACAGGCCACGTCGCTGCTCGCCACCGTGCACGGAGGAGCACCCGTCGCCGCTGCGCGCCACCGTCGTCGGGGATCTGCAAGGGTGCGAGTGTGAGAGGGACAAGACCCACCATTGATCTGAGAGAGAAGAAAAAGGGCTCCACACCTTGCGCCGGATCCGCCGCCGCCGCCGGGGCCTCCATGCCAGCGTCGGGGCCTCCACGCCGGCCGGAGGAGGGAGAGGAAGGGGCGCCGTTGGGGCCTCCACCGCCGGCCGAAAGAGGGAGAGGAAGGGGCGCCGTCAGGGCCTCCACCGCCGCCGTCAGGGCGGCCTGACCTGGAGCGCGTGGGGAGGAAGAGAGTGGGGAGGAAGAGAGGGAGGAGGAAGAGAGTGGGAAGGAAGAGAGGCCGACTGCACGACAGGAACAGAGTGGGGAGGCTGACTGCGCCCCCCGAAACCCTAAGTATACCTATATATACGTGTAGACGAATATCAGGCCAGCTTGGGCCTGATGGGCCTAGGCCTTTTCCGTGGCGGGCTTTTAACGTTGTCCGCCATGGTAAATTGATTTACCGTGGCGGACACCTTACGATGTCCGCCACGGTAAATAGGGTATTTACCGTGTCAGGTATCTTAATATGTCCGTCGTGGTAAATCGATTTACCGTGACGGGCAAAAGTGCCCGCTACGGTAAATAAAAAATGCCCGCCGTGGTAAATCGTGGGATTTAGCGCAGCGGGCAAAAATAGGTGCCCGCCACGGAGTGCAAAAGTGCAACGCTGCGCATATTCGTTTGTGTAGTAGTGAATATAAATCATGAATAACTTTTAAGTTGTTGAGTTTGGAAATATGAAAACCATATGAATAGATTTGTCTTGAAAAATACTTTCATAAAAATATGCATATATCACTTTTTGATAAATACTTTTATAAAAACAAGAAATCAGAGACCGTGTCGCTGTCCAAAACAACTTTATTTTTGAGTATGGAGGGAGTATACATGAGCTTGAAAGGTACTCCATCTAAGAAAGGATGCAAGGTTATGTTTCAGTATCTTAAGTTTGACCAATTATAAATAAAAATATTAATATTTATGATATCAGATAAATATCATTAGATTAATTATGAAATATATTTTTATAATAAATTGATTTAGAGTCACAAATGTGAATATCATTCGCTAAAAAGTTAGTCATGAATCACTTTAACTAGCACGTAATTTATAGTTGTATTTTTTTTTGACAAAGGGAATATGTATCCATAAAGTGTGTGAGAGACAGGTTGTGGCAGAACCGCCCGAGATAGCATGCTTCCGGAGGCGCTCGTCTTCCAGTAGACGCTAAGCACCTCGAAAGTAAGCTACATCGAACGGTCTCGTCGAGCACACCCAAGGGAGAACTCGAACAATCCATATTTTTTATCCAAGATCTAATAATAAGAATGAGTTTACAATACTTAGTCCATTTCATACAACAAGAGTTCTCAGAAATACATTATTATAATACCAAGTTCAGAGTGCGGAATTTAAACAACGAAATTGAAATAAACATCTAACGATAAGATACAAGGATCCGTCTGTGCCCACTAGAAGAATCCTCCACACAACAGCCACCTCAAGCTACACCTGCAACAGGGGTAAATAAACCCCGAGTACACAATGTACTCGCAAGACTTACCCGACTAGTGGGAATAATTTCCTGACTCCAAAGGATATGATAAGTTTGATGGTTTGATGGGTTTCCTTTTTATTTGCGAAAAGCATTATTAGGAGTGAATCCTTATGTATGTGTTTTATTAGCAGTCATGATTAGTTCATTAGCTAACCATTCTATGTAAGCATATATTCTACTTTCAAGCAAGAGTTGAGCAATCAGATCTATTCACTCCCTTTCATCTTCCAGTTCTTACTACGGTGCTAGATCATATACGAGTCGTACCATATCACACGGCGATTCGCGAACCAATGTATCTCAGCTAGGTACCCCAAAACACACGCCCTGCTTGTACTCTAGACACAAGCAAGACCAACCCACCACTCTCCTGTCAAGGGGTCCAGGTCCCCGTCTAAATTTGGACTCCAAGCCCAGCGGTGCTTAGGCCTCCATCATCCCCGCCTCCAATCAGTCGGTCTGGAAAGAGCCGAAACCCACGACAAAAGAGCAACGAGCCTTCTCGCTCCCATAAGCAAGTATGTGCTTAGGATAATAAGTCTGTGAATTGACTAGAATCCACAGCAACGAACAGTCCTTAACCGACACGGACAGGAAAAACAGTGTAACCAAGCTATGTCCCGTTGGCCGCGGGACACAACCTATTACACCCACCAATACCCACACCATATCCCCGCCCGGTCTTCATTTTCTTTCACCATTTTACCATGAGAGTAATAATAATAACCACCTATTATGAGTAATGGCAGGTTACTCACGCTTCCGATAGTCCAAGCATAGCAGCTACTCGACCTATGCTAGTA